TTTTGGGGTTGAAATGAAAAATATCATCTTATCTCCACTTTTGAGTTTGTGCCCACTCTGCCGCTATACTTGATAGTATGGGAAATTCAGATTTCATGTTTACCGATTAAGTGGAGCAAGTCAATCTCTATAAGTCTATCATCAATACATGTTTAATCCATTTGAGATTTTGTTTTCATTTTTTCAATAATCTCTCATTTGAACGATATGTATGATAAATTTTGCCCCGACCCGATCCTCATTACCCGCCCAGAATAATAAATGGGAAGGGGATGGAAAACATAGTTTGCGCCTCGAATTCCCTATCCATACCGAATCTTTTTATTTTATTTTCATATTTTTCAATTTAAATAGTATTTCAAAAATAAAAAAATATAGATAAATAAATGGTAAACGTGGACCTTTTAATTCTCGTCTCGCCTTGTTGTCATCCTTGTTGAATGAAGTACCTATTGATTCTAAATAATGACACGATCAACACCAAAATGCACCAAGAACACTCGACAAAAAAATAAAACAAAATAAAATGAAGAACGCGAGAATAGAGACTTTTAAAGACTTTTACAGATTTAAAAGTATCTAGATGTATTCAATATACACCTTTTAAGACTATAAAAGTCTCGAGGTATTCGATGTAGTAGGCTTTTTAAAAGTTTTCTTTAAAGTCCTCAAAACTCACTGGTATTGAAAATAATAATGACTTCTAATGACTTTTACAAATCCTCCACTTACTAAATTTTGCGTAGAAAATACAAATAAAAAAATTTACAATTTATTTCGGGGGCCGCTATTTGCATCCACGATTGTTATATATTCATCCCGCTCTATATCTATCACAATTAAAATATTAAATTTTTAAAAAATTACTATTTTCATCCACGTCACATTTCAATATTTTTCTTACTAAATTCATTTATTTAAACAATATAAATTCACACAAACTCTTTATATTCATTCCTTTCTAAATACAGCTCCAATATAATTTCAAAATTTTTAAAAATCATTATATTCATCCTCATTACATATAACATCAGCCTTCTCACAATTCAATAGTAATTCTATTGTTCAAATATTATAAGATGGGATTCTATGAACCATAAACCCTATAATCATCGCCTTCGTCAATGTGACACGGACTCTATACATAAAATTATATAATTCAGTTTATGGAAAATTAGCAGTTTTTTAAGTAGTAATTAACAGATAGACAATAAAATTTTAGAAGTTTGTATCGATTGGAGAGAATTTTGTGAAAATAAAATGAAAGGATTAGAAATATTGAAATGGTAATATTATTGTCTAATTCCTTCTGCTCTTTACCTTCAATTGACTATTATTTTTATTTATTTTATTAGATAGTTTAAAATATGTTAATTACTACTTTAAAAAAAAATTGTTCCATAAAATGTGAAGATGATAGTTTATGATTATTAGGGTTTTAATCAAACACAAATTCTAAAAGAATACAAAAAGGTCCAAAATAATTTAATGAAAATAAATATTAGTGTAT